CTGTATGTCTATGTCTGGCTGTATGTCTATGTCTGGCTGTATGTCTATGTCTGGCTGTATGTCTATGTCTGGCTGTATGTCTATGTCTGGCTGTATGTCTATGTCTGGCTGTATGTCTATGTCTGGCTGTATGTCTATGTCTGGCTGTATGTCCATGTCTGGCTGTATATCTATGTCTCTCTGTATATTTATGTCTGTCTATATAATATGCACGTACGTACATAAGTATCTAGAATTCATTTAAAAAAAAACTTATGCTGTTCTATTTGGGAACTGACAATGTCTGCACTTTTAGATTTCAATCTAATAGGAAAGGATGAGATGATGTATATTGCTATCAAACGCTACCATGCTATTGAAATGTTTCACTGTGCTCCAGTCTAAGTAAGAGTGCATATTTTCTTGTGCTTTGTTTGAAGATATGGAGCGGATGTGAACAAGAAGACTGGGTTCCTAGAACATTCAAAGACCTCGAAGGTTTACCTTGTATTGTAGTTCTTACCGGCAAGGACCCCCTTGGAGAAACCTTTCCCAGGTATGCTGGTTCTTTAATTCTGCCCATGCGTGAAAGGAAACCTTTCCTTATGGGAACATGAAGGCTGCCATTGCTGAATTCTCATCTTGCAAAAGTTTATTTTCCTGGCTGTCATACGTATTTTGTGCCTTTCAACAGTTTGAGTTACTGACTTAGATCAAGTTTGGAGATAAGGATTTTTGAATTTGCTCTAAATTCTGATTTGCATACCAGATCCAGATCTATAAGTCAGAAAATATAGAAGCCAGAAGGTCAGCAATAGCATTCTCTATTCTCTTTGTTAAAGTATAGTTTACCTCTGCATTAGTTAACATTTGATATATATGATTGCTACACAAGCCATTTTGTAATTAGGTGTTAAACATACCTTCCTAGTTCAGTCTGCAACTAACTGTGATTTTCTATGTGCCTACTGTAGGCATAAGTGATCTTGTGAATGTAGCAGGAAGCTCATTCCACTCTGCATTCAGGACATAAATGTGGAAAATAGGAAGGGAGTTTCTTAAGTTGACAAAATAAAATTACATTTGAAAGGGAAATTCATTTTATTTTTTTTATTGTTTTTGTTGGTTTTTTAAAAAATGTTTTACATTTGTTTTGTTTTTTAACAATTCTTTAAACTGTTTATCTGTTTCACTGTCTTCATTTATTATTATTTTTCACAAATAAATATTTAATGCTTTACTCTCGGAGCACTGTGGATTAGCGAGAGACAGCAGAGCAGTTTGCTTTGCAGCTCCCATTTATTTGTTGGAAACACCCAGTCGGATGAGGGATGATTCATTGCTCTGATGGCTCATTTGAATTCTGAAAACAAGGGACTTCTCTTAGCACAAATCAAGGGTAGTAATGCCAATGATGTGAAAAGGAGACTAGAGCCCCACCTGCTGGCTGGATTGAAGACCGCATAATAACTTGCTATATTTTATATTCACCTGACAGATATAATTTTAAAATGCTTGTTTTTAATAAATAAATATATATATATATATATATATGTGTATATATGTGTGTGTATACTGTGACCTCCGTCTAATAGATTCCAGTTTCCTAACACGGACAGCGTTGGAGCAAGAAATAGGCCTGGCTTGCGGTTATGTATCAAGGGATGTCATTAGAGAACCAATGACTGCGTTGGACCTCAGTGACAAAGAAGTTGACAAGGTTAACAGCATTGCAAATGACTCCGATGATCTGTTTATTGACCTAGACAGACCACAAAGTACTGGCAGTGAAGTCACTGGGACTTCAGGTTAGTTTATTTGTGTGTGGAGCATAAATATTTTTGTGTTGGTGTTATGGACTTTGCTTTGTAATTAAGTGTATTTCCATATTTTTGAGAAACACTTTAGCAAATTTACCCCCTAATGATTTCAAACCAATAGCGCATAATAACTTTTTGTGATTTAAGGAGTTAATAATGTTTAATATATTCTTTTGGCAAAGGTTCCATAGCAGAAAATGGAGTCAGTTCATCAAGCACAGCTGAGGAGACACAGAGACAACCATTAAACCCTGACTTTCCAATTATAGCAAACAGCTCCCTGGATGAAGGAACGTACCCCAATTCTACAGCCAGTGAGCTCAAGCCAGAATGCGACTCTCTTGGAGCACAAATGGCCAGCAGCACAACATCAAAATTATCCTCTTCCTCATCACAAACTCTCCAGTGGACTAACCAATCGGGAAAAAAGAGCAGGACGTTGAGTTTAACATTGCCACGTATCGTGGTTCTCTCAAGAGCTACTTACAATCTCTTGGCTTCTCATAAAAATGGACAGGCACTCTCTACAGTTTCCCTCTTGCCCCATGCTGATGTTAGTTGGCTGAGATCACTCAGACCTTTAATTTCCAAAGACTTGAGCAGTGACGAGCAATCACTTTACTACCGGCAGTGGACAACAGCCAGACAGCACCATGCAGACTATGTAAACCCCAGTGAGCAGTTGGGCACAAGGACTGTTCATCCACGGCGTCTTCTTCTGACTGGACCACCACAGGTCATTCATCTTTTGATTTTGTGTCAAGGGATTCAGTGCTTTCCTCATTATTTTGTGTTTTAAACATTGATGGAGGATATAACATTTGAAGATAGAATGACCAGGAGCAATGTTCCCTTTAGGATATTGTATATGGGAGATATGAACTTCTGAGTGAATGTCTTGTGTATGGTATATTCTATGTTCACACATGCGCAAAATCAGTGGGGCAGGTGCAGAGGCGGCTCTCTAATTAGGCAAATTAGGCGGTCGCCTAAGGCCTCGCGCTCACAAGGGCCTCGCGGCTGCTTAATTTGCCTAACACATTACAGGGGACCTTAGCGCTGCTGAGCGCAGACAGCATTAGGAGCCCTGTCACATCCAAGAGTGCATCGCAGCCGCCAAACATCTCGGCAGCTGCGATGCACGGTTGAATGTGACAGGGCTCCTAATGCTGTCTTCTGCGCTCCGCAACATTAAGGAAATCTATCACCTCCGAAGGGTGCGGTTTTGGGGGCGGAGAGATGTAAGCACCGTCCCCGCAGACAACTCTCCCCGTTGCAGACTCACAGACTGTCGGAAATTTCTCCTTACCGGCGGTAATCGGCTGCAGCGATCTGTGTCAGAGGGACAGACAGCCGATTACAGACTCTAAGGAAAAACCTCCGACAGTCTGTGAGCTTCCTTCCCCCGTGCCGTCTACTCACCCCTCCACACTCCTCTCCTGTCAGCTGCGATCCGTCTCCAATACAGCAGCTGGCAGCAATAGTCGGCCTGTTGTTGGCTCTTTTAAATTGCAGTAGCCAATAACAGGCTGGCTATTGCACCCGCCTGCTGTCAATCAGCAAAGGAGGACCTGATGGAGAACTTTCTCCTTCAGGTCCCTCCTCTGCTGATTGACAGCAGGCAGTGGGTGGGTGCAATAGCCAGCCTGTTATTGACTATTGCAATTTGAAATATCCAATAGCAGGCTGGCTATTGCTGCCAGCAATAAAGTAAAAAAAAGTTTTTACAAAATAAACAAAATTGAAAAATGATTAAAAAAATATATAAATAAAAAGTAAAAATAAAAAAAGTTAAATAAACTAAAATGAAAAATACAAAAAAGGTTAAAATATTAAATTAAAAATAAAAATGCAAAACATTTAAAAAATTTAAACTACAATTAAAAAAACAAAATAAAAGTTAAAATAAAATAAAAAGCACAGCCTCCTGAGACCCACAGCCTTCTAAAACCCCACACAGCTATCAATTTTCCATTATGATTGTGAGTGGGGCCCCATTTTTAGGTTTCGCCTAAGGCCTCACAGTCTAGAACCGCCTCTGGGCAGGTGCTATATAGCTATAGAAATAGTGATTTCAGTAATGCATCTTTAATGATTGGCAAAATTAACTTGCAGTGCTTGAATTTTACAGGCTGACTTACTATCAAACTAAAATCCGTTAAATATCAAGTTCTTATATACACTAAAATATTGGTTTGGTATTCTTTTTATTGGTTATAACTGTAGCTGGATTTATCCTATAGGATCAATGTGAATGAATGCTATCCCTATTGAATATACTGCCTAGAATGACTTAATGTTAGTCACTACATTTCTGACATGTTTCTTGTTCTAAAAGTAGGCAAACCAATGGGGCAGCTTCAGTAACCTGCACACAAATTTGGTGGCTACTTGCTGAGAAATTAGTGTAATAGGCAATGCTTGTAGCTTGCATAGCCCACAGTAATCACTTTTTGGATGGGGTGTGAAAGCTTATTAATGGCACTGTCAGTATAGAAAAGAGTATCTATGCTTTGTGAATTTTGGAAATATACCTACCTCTGCTTTGAAGCATCCTAATGTGTAACTTCTAACACATGCTTTTTACTTCAATTGGTAGCCTATATTCTGTTCAAGCTGAACTCCAGGCAGATGTAAACACATTTAATGCAATTGTGTATTTCTTTAACCCCTTCATGACTGAGGCCCTTTTTTCCATTTTTGCACCCATTTTATATTCCACATTTTAGGCCTGAAAATGACGTAAAACCCCCCAACATTATATATTTTCTGAATGCCAAGACCCTATAGAATAAAATGGTGAATCTGATAAAAAAACGCACATGTTTATTGGCTGTTTTACCTTCAATTTTTCTTATTTTATTTATCTTCACAAATCTTTAAAATATGGTTTATTGTATAATCAACATATTTTTGTCAAATCAGAAACTGTAGGCCAGTTTCATACATGGGTTTAGGTAGAGGAGAACCTTTGCATTGTGTTAACAAGGGGCCTATTGGACTAAGAAAACTTAATGGCTGCATTTTGCTATGAACTCTGCCAAATGCTTTTATTAAAGGAGAACTATGGGGGTCATGGCTTTTCCCCATAGTTCTCCTTAGGGTAACGGGAGGACACAAAGTAGCATCCTCCCGTTACCCTAAGCTCAGTATACCGCTAGCTACAGCTCGCGGCATACTGAGACGCCGCAGCCGGAGCGGATCCCGACGTAGATGACGGGATCCGCCCAGCTGCGTTAGTGACAGCTGGCTCTGCCTATCTAGAGGCAGAACTCACCTCATAGTTCTCCTTTAATGCCCTTCCTGTCTGAAGATTTTTGACCAGACTTCAATATTCCAGCTAGAACAATAGAGCTAAGTTACCTCCCTTCCTCCAATCTGTGACTAAACAATGAAGGAGCAGCAGCAAACTGATGAGCTCATCACTCTGCTTTCTCCTCCTTTTAGTATGTTCCTATTATTCCCATATGCATGCAGCACACCAGAATGGCTTTTAAAGTGGATCTTTACCCCCTTTCACTAAAAATCACAGGAGCATGCAACTCTGCATGCTGATATGAAATCATCTTACATTCATTAGTTAAACACATTTTTATTTTACTTACAATTACTGTTTTTTCACTTCCTGGTTCTCTTGGGCATTAGTGATGTAATGTGCCCAAGCGTTGCGTTCTGGGAAGGTTATATTACCAGTGCATTGCTGGTAATGCAATCATATGTAAGCTGCAAGATCTTAGGGAAAGGCATTTTTCCCCCTGAGATGATGTGCATTGACACGTGTCCTAGTCACATGTGCCAGAGTTCCAGGAAGTAAAGGGAGATGGATTTATCTGCCCTTAATAAAAATGTCCAATCTGAGAAGAATGGTGAGGAAAAGAAAAATAAGGTATGCAAAGAATAAAAAAACCTGCAATTATATATAAGCATCTGTAGTTTGCCATTACTAAACATTTCTGAAGTTGCCTTTGTTGTCATTTTAAAGATAAGGGTAAAGTTCCTTTTTAATGCTGCCCCAGCCCTTCCAGTCTGAGTTCAGCTGTACAGGGTACTACAAGAGGCTAATGCCAAGTGAAATTCAGTCCTAATCAGACTTTGGTGGTGCTGTTTGGCAGAGTTATAAAAATCACTAAGTGCCTGGACCCTTGGTAGATTTGACTAGAGATGTGCACCGACAAAACTTTTTTTTAGTTTAGTTTCGTTTTGATTCGGCGCTTGCGTTATTTCGTTTTCCTGATTCGGATTCGGGTCCGAAAGTCAATTCGTTTCGGGATTCGGGTTCAGACGAAATACGTTAGTGGTAGTCTGTACGAAGTTTCGTTTCCGTTAAGTGTTCGTTGCAGCAAAGTGACATTTAAAAAAAAAAATGTAAATGTAACTTTGCTGCAACGAAAATTCGTAAAGACTACCGCTAACAAATTTCGTTTTCGGAAATTCGGAGTCGTTTTCATTTGTCATTTCTGTTATTCGGAAATTCAGATACATCCGAATAACGAAAATTCGTCCGAAAAACACAGTTTTCCGAAACGAATCGCACATGTCTAGATTTGATGGTTTACATACACTCTGTGTATTTCTGCTGTGTGTTTAGCTGCTTGCCTGGATTTCTTTGCTTTACAATATTGTCGCTTACTGAATGCAGCCTTTTTGTTTTTTTCCTTTTCTCTGATTTATTGAGATGTAATTTGTATGGGTGACAGTCCATAGGTTTCTTTGAGATCCACTAAATTTGAATGTTTTTTTCTATGATATTTTTGGTTTGTCTGCTTTTAAATTTTGTATAAGTTTTCATTTTGAAACCTTTTTATAGTATTTATGCTAACATGCCCTTTATTTTAAAGGTAGGAAAGACTGGTGCTTACCTGCAATTTCTTAGAATACTTTATCGCATGCTGATTCGACTCTTGGAGGTAGATGTCTATGATGAGGAAGAGATCAACAAAGGTAGCGTCTTTGTAAATACAATAGTAGGAACCGCTAAGTACCTAATGGGTGCGAAGTGCAGTGTGTACACAATATTAAGTAACCCTATGTACAGTGTAAATATTATATTGCAGACCACATTACGCTGACATTTCAAGATTAAAGCTAGCATTCTTTTGGATTAATATTTTAAAAATATGCTGTCATTTATAAAAATATTGAAGCTGCCATTGTTGACTGTTACTGAAGGTGAAGGCTTTGGGACTGTCATTTGTATCCTGCCTTCAATACAGAGTGAGTGACTGACTCAGAACAAGTATGTGTCTACCAGGTATCCAAACACTTAGCTAGCTGCATGCTTTTTTGAGTTAGTGACTTATGAAGTAGGGCTCTAATACAGATTTAGCCCCAGAGCTTACACCTATACTCAAATTGCAATGGTAGTTCCCATTAGTTGACAGTTATCCTTCAAACATTTACACTTACAATAATAGTTGATTTCTAGCAGCAAACTGTTCCAAGGACCTAATTTAAAAAAAAAAAAAAAACATGTTTCGAGAAATAAGTATGTGCCATATGGGTAAACAAGCAAGTTTATGTTCGCACTCCTGTTGGCTCGGTCTGATGCAGTCCCAAGCATAGCACAAGGGTTCTAAGATGGCATCTATATCATGATCTAATCTTTGATTAACGAGGTTGTTACTACACTTGGGTGTCTCCTACAGTAGATCTTCCTTTTGACAGTAGATACTATTATCAATTAACCTCCCTATAACAGCGCATTCAATGTTATATCATGATGAATTTGTCTGCTTACTATTAATTCCTGATAATGTTACTTTCCGTCTATTTGTCATGCAAAAATATGATTCTTTTTTTTTTTTTTTTCTTGCAGTTGAGGAAGGACAGGAGGAGCTTCCAACAAATTATGAGCTTTGGCCAGATATTGAAGCGTTCAGCAAAATTCCTTTTGATGTCACAATACATGATCCAAAATATCGACATGTCAGTCCACTCTACACTGGCCAAACCAAGCAAGGTGTGTTTCTATTACTTGTGACCTTTCAAAACAAAAGCTACAATTTTACACTAAATAGTTTAATAGGGTGCTTATATTTGAATATATGGGTGCATTTGCCAGTTAAGTATGTATTAAAACAACCATTTCAAATAACATGACCTAAATTGAAAAATGTTTTACGGTTCTGGTGCACCCAGTGGCAGTGCAAGATCATGAGCTCCCCTATCGGCTCCTATTCACACAGCATACTGAAAAATAACTTGAAATTTTTTTTTCTTAGCCTTTAGATCTTTTGTTAAATCAGGCAAGATGGCTGATTCCAGGTTTTTCTTAGTCCTTTTACAGTGATCTGTCCTTATAGAAAGTCTTGGGACAGAAATGTGAGGATTGTGTTCATCTCATGAACTTCATTAACATACAGTGGGCAAGCCACCTTTTTAGACACCTCAAAGCCCCTCCCAACATTTAAAAAAATAGAAGCTGGATGAAATATTAACCCCTAAAACCCTAACCCATTTAAAAAAACATTTAAACTGCAGGAAGCTTTTTTTTCGTTTTTTTTTTTTAGCTCATGCTATGTGAATGGGAATATGTAACGAATATAAAATACGTGTTATCCCAATTTGGCTGCGAAAGTGGAAATACACAAGTAGGAGGAATTTGCTTCTCAGGCAGTTGTCACCAAGATATGCATCTGTATTGGATGATTTCCCCCCACCTCTTGCTCTGACAATGTTAACATTTTGGTGTTCCCCTCTTTCTCTATGACCATGGTCAGCAGTTTGAGGGGTGAGTCTCCCCAATAGGACACAGTCCGCAAAAAAATAGACAAAGGGTCCAAACTAGGGAAGGCAACCGTGGCACTCAAGCTGTGCTTAAACTACAAATTCAGTCATGCTTGTAGTTGTCAGTCTTGCAATGCCTCATGGGATGTGTAGTTCCACAACAGTTGGAGCGCCAAAAAAAGTTTTGCCTTAACATGCACGTTAAGAAAAACAAAAAGAATTCCAATCTATACTATCAGAATAAATATTGTATCTGTTTATTCCTTAGGTTTAGTATTCTTTCTTGCCTTATTTTCCCTTGTCAAGTTGTTTACAAAATAGTGAAACATAGTCTGGTACCTAGAATAAGAGGTGGCAGAAGATATTAGTGAAAACAGGAGATATTTTGGAATTAATATTCTCTAATCCTTTAAATCCTTGGTTCTCAACTGGCGGGTCGTGACCCAAAAGTGGGTCGTGACCCCATGTTCAGTGGGTCCCCGCATGCCTTCCACTTTTCTAGGTAAGAGGCTCCTCTGCCTCCCCCTAGCGCAGCACTGTCACTTCTGATGCCAAGCAGCCATTCAAAAATATGCTGCCCGGCACCGAGTGTCAGCTTGGGGTGGGGTGGGCTGGGCTGGGGCTATGGCCGCAAGGGAGCTCCATCCATACATGCATTGCTTACAGCTCCCTTACGTTCCTTTGTAGAGGTGCCTGGACCGGAGTGACATCACATTCTGGCTCCCGACACCTCTGCAGGATGTGCAAGGGAGCTGCTCAAGCTGCTGAGGATCCACTCCAGTTCTCGTAAAGGTGGGGAGACTGGGTGGACCTTAAAATAAATAATAAAATAATATTTTTTTGGATTGTGTATGTGTGTGTGAGATTTGTGTCTGTGGTTGTGTGTGTCTCAGTGTTTTTAAGGGTCCATTGACACTAGTACAGTGCATTAATCGCATGGGACTGTGCGATTCTCAGCCTGGGGCACTGGCGGAACTACTCCGCCTTTTGGGGGGGTCCAGAGAGGAAGCAGAGGACACAAAGCTTCCTCACGCTGTCCCCCCTTCCGGTTAGGGCCGCTCCTTCCCCGCCGCGCTCTGAATGTACGGTGGCTGTGCGGGGAAGGAGAGTAAGCTGCGCCTGCCACTTAGCTGCCTGGCGGGCTCCGACACAGCAGGCACGGCCAGGCAGCACATTCTCAGGTGGGAGAGGGCGGATCCTCTCCACTCAGTCCCGCCCCCTGGCTGTCAAGGATGAAACAGCTGCCCCTGCTGCAGGAGTCAGGTAAGGCCAGTGTGGGGGCACATGGAGGGGGGCTAAAAAGCTGTTATGATTTACATTTTTAATGTATTGCTGGGACTTGTAGTCATATATAGCTGGTGGTATTGTGTATTGCTGTATAATGATTACTACTACAAGTCCCAGCAATAGATTATATTATTCAGTAGGGACGCACCAGTGTGTGTGTGTGTGTGTAGCTGTTATTATTATTATTTACATTAGATTGTATTTCTGGGGCTTGTAGTCATGCATAGCTGGTGGTATTCTGCATTGCTGTGTAATGATTATACAGCAATGCAGAATAGCACCAACTATGCAGGACTAAAAGTCCCAGCAATACATTATATTATTAAGTAGGGCAGCACCAGTGCCAATACTGGGCATTTTCATGAGTACTCGGGAAAATGCCCCGATACTACGCACAGCAAAATTACCAGTGTCGCAGCAGTCACATTTGCGACCGAGCCCTGGTATTTGGCTAGTTTTGGGCACCGGGCGAGTTGGTTTTTTGTACATTTAGCCCTGCTCCGGACAAGCAGAGCTAAATGTACAGTGAGAGCCCGCTGCTTGTTTAATACAAGTGATCTAATCAGATCACTTGTATCAAATCGAGCGGCGGCGGGGGGGGCCCTTAATGGTTGCTTGCACTGGGGCCCTGAGGTTTCTAGTTACACCACTGGCCTGGGGTCCTGTGCTGTGTACCACGCAATCGCACCTACTGTGCATTCTGGTGTGGAAGGTGTTTTGCATTGCCGTTAATTTGAATGACACTCCAAACGCACCTCCTGCCCACAGTCCGATAGCCTTCACCTGAATGCCCTGTACTGCAATGTCGCGCATTCAATTGCAGTGCGACTTGGGTCGCGACTAAATGACCAATGACAAATGTGGGTCCTGAAGTTACACAGGTTGAGAACCACTGCCTTAAATCCAAAGAGTTAAATTAAAACTCTTGTAAATATTCTTTTTTAGTGGACAAAGTTACACCCATGGAATGTTACTATATGATCTGAAATATAATAATGGAACAAAAGGTTTTGTGGGAGAAATATGACCCTAGATTTTATTTCTGATAGGCTTAATGATCATGTGAACTCGCTGGCCATGCTACTTAGTTTGACCATAGAATTGTTGGAAAGATTGTAAAAGATTTTGTTTTTTCCCCCTAAATCTTGTGTGAAGATAAACCATGAAAGGGTTTTTTGGCACTAGGCCATTAAAAAAAAAAATCTGTTTTACTCCATAACCCTTTGCTTGCCTTTACTCATTGTTTTGTTGCATGGTGACTGTGCTCAGCAGGCCATAAAAATCAAGCAGATGTTTGTATGAATCTCAGCATCACTAGTTAAACTTGATCACCCAAACATAAACAAATTGCTGTGTTTCATACCTCTCATTTTAAAATGAATGTAATTAGTAATCAGGTCATGAGCTGCAGTCTTTTAAATAGATACTATAGTGTCAAGGCTTTGTCTTCACTTTAATTGCTGGTTAAGAGGATGCTTACTGGTTTTAAATGTATATTCCTATTTTTCTCGGGAATAAAAATGCTATGAATCCAGTGTCATGAGTACGTCTTGTGCTAAATGTATTTTTGTAAAGCAAGTTGTGAATGTGTATATCTAACTATGCGATGATACCTTTCTTATTGGGCTAGCATAATATTCAAATGGCAAGCTTTTGAGAGTTGACCTTTCCTTCAGGTCAAATACAACATGACAGAGTGTACCACTTAAAGAAACAAAGTTGTTGGAGAAGGGGGTGGTTTGAGTGTGGTATCATACATGTTGAACCTAGGAGTGAAGAATGCATCCTGATAACCAAAGGCCAGTATATACACACATATATCTGGAATATACTGTATGTTCCACTCCTGGCTTCCCTTCATGCCTCAGTGTGACTATGAGTTCAGGCTCATCTAACACTGCCTCAAACCTTCAAAGAATTGAACGTACAAAAATGGCCACTTTGCATGAAACTTAACGTATCCGGTGATCACGCCATCCACCTGGGTCCTCCCTCTCTTGCATTTCCCTCCAGTGAGCTCAAAGCTTAACAATGAGCTTTGTTGGAGAATGATGGTTCCGCTCATTTCTGAGTGAAATGTGGTATGTGTAGGGACCCTGACAGATGGAGTGATCACAGCTTGGTCAGGGCTTCCCATAGCCTGCTGATAGGGCAATGAGAAGCAGCAACACACCAATAAATTCATCTTTTTGCTGTCCCCTACTGTAAGCTTGCTCAGGGAGGGCACTTTGCAGTTGGCTTGAAGTGCTGCCCCTCCCTCTACAAGTGCCTTAAGGTAGCCATATACCTTACAGCCATTGTACAACTCTTTTTGACCAGACATCTCACCCTCGTTCAAATTTCTTACAACTAGCCCATCATGCACAGACCAATGTAGTTCACAATTAATGCTCTTCAGGACCACCACCTGGCTGATTGTCATCGATCAAAAGGACAGATTTTTGTTTGAGCATGTGCATTTTTCATCTTGTACAGTAATTGAGGTTGTGCACTTCCCATCAACTGGCAGATTTTCAGACAAAAACACAATCGCAGACACAAAATCTCCAGATAATTGTAAGGTGTATGGACACCTTTAGGCCCCGGTTCATTTTTGTGCTACGTGAACATGTCGCATACACGCGCTTTCGCATACAGTTTTGCTGCACTTGAGCCTATCCAAACACAGCAAAGAAATGAACTTCTAGCATTTTTTGACCACACATTTCTGCACGTTTGAATTGCGCTGTCAAAAATTCACATTTTACCAGCAACCTTTGGGTTGTCATTGACAACTAATGGCACTGCGAGAGTGTCGCATATTTTTGATGTGTTGCATAGATGTACACCAAAGTGTGCTCTTTGTCGTGCTTTTACACAGCACAAAAGTGTAAATGGGGACTTACTGTGTATTAGATTAGTTTTCTCCATTTTGGAGTGCATACATAATATTTGTGTACTATTTTGAACGACTAGTATAAATTAAATATATAAGGGTTTAAACCTGAGAGAACTCTGATCTTTTAAATTACTGAGCAGAAGTGGACATTTTAGTTGATGTTTACATGCATAAAATTTACTTTAAAGCATCTTTGCATGAAGTAACTTAGGAAATAATATTTGTATCTGTGCCTGCTTCCGTCACCTGTGCATATGTTGTCACTTTGACACTATTACAAAGGTGTCATGGTTGTTGTTTAAATCTGTGTCTAAATCTTAAGCTACTTCTAGGATTACCAGTATAAGAAGTTTCCTATTTCTTGTATTTTTGCACAGACTCCTCTGGAGGTCATTCTGATGAATCTCGGAAACGTGAAACCGTTTCTATGATGCTGACAAAATATGCATCATACAATACTTTCCACCACTGTGAGCAGTGTCACCAGTACATGGATGTCGGCTCTGCATCACAGGTACCAAAACATTTAAGGATTCATGTTTTTATAGCAATTATGAGTGTGCTGTAGCCAGTAACAATCCAGTGTGATGTGATCCTGTTCATTGCCCCAAAAATGTTATGTTCACCTAAAATATTTTTAATGTGACTTTTTAATTTTGCATGCATTCTGTACCATATTTAAGTCACTGTATTACACACACATTTTTTTTTTTTTTTACATTTTCTTTTATGGCTCCATATTTCACTTAAATCAGTCCTTGATAATCAACTCTGAGAATAAGGTTTCAGGCATAAGTAGACAGTGCATTGCTTTCAGTGAGTCCAGAGAATGGTAAACCGGCATTAGCACCAAGAAACAGACACAACTACAGTGCTGGAAACAAGAGCACTTGATATGTAATTATGCTTTTTTAGGGCTGCAATCAACTGATCGATTAATCGATAATGAGAATTGTTAACTTATTCTCATTATCAATTAGTTGGTTGGATCCCCTAGTTCACTCCTCCACGGTGAGAAACTGGTGTTCCATCGGCTCTGTGTCCCCTCTGATCACCGCTGCTATCAGCGGGGTTCGAGGGGACACGGACTGCTACACCCGGCGCCCAGCAGGGAGGAGAGACTGACTGCCATCCACCACCACTATGACTGTACACTGGGTGCAATAGCCAGCCTGCTGTTGGCTATTTGAAATTGCAATAGACAATATTGACTGAAGGTCCCCCCTCTACTGATTGACAGCAGGTAGTGAGCCAGTGCAATAGCCAGCTTGCTATTTCAATTTGAAATAGCCAATAGGAAGTTGGTTATTGCCCACTGCTTGCTGTATTTACATTCAGCTGCCAGCTGCGGAATCTTGCCGCGGGCAGCTGGTATTTCCCGGCTGAAGCTATTCAAGTGTGCATGCTAATGGAAGCATAAGTGGGGAGCACCCAACATACGAAAATGATGATTGCGCTACACATGTCGGGTATTGCCGTGTGTGCCAGAGCAATAATTATTTTAAATAAAAGTTTGGTGTTTTTATTGTATTGGCTTAGAATTTTTCAATTCAGATTATTTTAAATCCATGAAATGAATTAAAATGTCCAAAATAATACATACAATTATTTAACAAAAAGTAAAAAAAATATTGGGGGGAATAAAGTAGTTTTGGTTTTGGCCTGACACATTCTGCTGCTGGCGGTGCTTTGTGGTGCTATTCATTTGAATGGCACCCCAAACACGCTTCCCACCCGCAGTGCGACCGCCCGCACTGGAATGTGTGTTCCACTGTGGTGCGATTGCAAAAATTGTGCATGCAGTTTTATTCTGAAGTAAACTTTAACACTCCTTTTGTGTATTTTAAATAAAAGATAGTACCTAATTTTTTTTTATCCGATTGAAAAAATAATTGGCCAACTAATCGATTGTGAAAATAATCGTTGGATGCAGCCCAAATGGTTTTCTGCATATTAGCATTTTGTTTTGTGCTATCACTAGTGGCATCATATAGCGGGCATCTCTAGGTGTCTGCATGGTTAGTTTAAATTTGGTTCATTTTAATTGGCATCCGTTCAAGAGCCTGCCTGTCCCTGATACTGCCTCCTAAGCCTTATTATTGACCCATCATTGTGATGAATGTTCTAACTGGTTGCTCATGGGTCTTAGTACCTGGGGTAGGAATGGGTTCTTGACCAATAAATCTGGTCAGTTTTTTTTTTTTTTATACTAGCATTCAGGATTGAAGCTTCCCATGCTCTAAGTAAAGAACCTTATATGCAGGCACCTGGAGGTGTCCACTATGACTGTACACTAGCAGTGGAGGTATGGAACAATATTTGTTCTAAAACATTACCATAGATAGTGATTAGATTATTTTAAGATAACTTTGTATATGTGTATCTAACATAACATTGTGTCTGTCTGTTTTCAAAAGTGCTATCCCCTATAAAGCTTTCCTGAATAAAATATTAATGTACCATTTGAGACTCCTTCTGACCTGCATTTGACCTGTTTCAAGTGAGTTTTGCATTCCTGTAGACCTGTATCGGCATGCAAAACACTTAAGTTGGCAATGTCCATCCACTTGGGCCTTTAGACTGCCATTTCTTAGTGCATAAGTGATGTGTTGATCCAGTGGCTTCAATGCTTTCTGTGCCAGTGACCCAGATCAACTATGCAGTTTAGGAGTTCTCAGACTTAACTAGATGCAATACTAGTTTTGGGTCAGTGACTCAAAAGCAAGAGGAACCCAGACAACTAGAGTTTAAAGAAAGTCAACAAGTGCAGCCTAAATATTTTTCACGCTAAGGGTTTCCTTTCGGTGGCTTTCCTATTAAACTTAGACCAGAGACTGCTTGAGACCTCTCTGTTGAGCCAAACTACAGACTTTGTCAGATTTGTATTGCCATCTGTGTCCCTTTTTGAAGACAATTTCTTTACTTCCTGTTGGGAAAGGAAGAGATGGAAAATTTCATAAATGGAGACCTAAACAAAAACACATTTAGGGGGACAGTAAATGAGCAAAAATTACAGACAAAAATAAAAACCCAATATTTGGGTGCTAAAAAGATCGAAGGGGTCCTGACATTTTCACTGGAATCCATGATCTCAGATCAGTATTACATTGGCATGGCATACCAGCATAGCCTGTTGTTGTTCTACATTGAGTGGTATTTTGTGACCGCTGCAATGCAAGCCTAGATGGTTTTTGTCTGCACAGAGAACAGTCTAATGTAATGTATAATAAAAAATATTGTGAATAATAAAATATTAGATTAGTCATCGTTCTCTTAAAACATTTTTGGAGGTTGGAATTGCAGTGCCTTATCTAATAAGCTTCTGATTTTTTGTTAAGCATTTTCCTCCTTCTACTTTATGGTTTTCTCTGATCCTGTGATGTCTTTTAGTAAAATCCACCCCACTTCCATGGAAGCTTCAACTATGCATAAAAAGAATGTTAAAATGTAATAACCAGGGAAACATGGGGTCCTGGAAGTAAAATTTATTAAATGACATCATACAACAGAAGGCTAGTCCCGTCTAAACCAATGAACTGTATCTAATGCCATAGCAGACTATGAATGCTTTGGGACAAGCAGCACTGAAAGTTCAGCACCACTACTGTGGTCATTTACAATTCTATGAAATCAATGGGCAGTTCAGACGCCTATCAATTCATAGAAAAGTAATTGGTATGCTGCAATGTTTACTGTTAAGAATGGCTCCGGTATGAAAACTGATGTAACTTCTTATTTTGCGGAAAGCCCAGACAACTGTTTTTTTATTACATTATAGAGAACCTATACATATGGTAGCCTCTCCTGAACACTTAACATTTCTGTAATCTGTTACCTTAGATGCCTGATTCTACCATACATGCCTTTACCTTTTCATCCTCGATGCTTGGTGAGGAGGTTCAACTTCACTTCATCATCCCCAAGTCCAAAGAACATAATTTTGCCTTCAGCAAACAGGGCAAGCACCTGGAGAGCATGCGGCTCCCCCTGGTGTCCGATAAAGTAAGTGTTTGACTTTCACTGTTCAATAAAAGACTAATTATAACAAATAATATTAATATAATATAGCACGAATAATAAAAGTAATGTTGTGATTATAATGTCTTCCTCCATAGAACCCCATTGTTAAGAGTCCAATTTTTACCCCTTCAAGTGGCAGACATGAACATGGACTATTAAACCTCTATCATGCAATGGAAGGTATTAGTCACCTGCATATCATGGTCGTGAAGGAGTATGAGATGCCACTTTACCGAAAGTATTGGGCCAACCACATCATGCTGGTGCTTCCTAGCATGTTTAACAATGCTGGAGCTGGTAAGTGATGACATCCATCCATTGTGTCCTTTTCCACATAACACTTTGCACCATGTTGGCTGATTTTTAGAATTAAGGATGCTTGGTAAGTCTATAACCAGTAACCGGCTATGCATTCAACAGGAACATTTTGTCTTTCAAATTACATTTACGCAACTGTTAAATTAATTCATAGTAAGTGAATGCTTCTGCAATACCAATTACTAACTGCCCAGAACTAAAATTGCCTTCCAGAGACAGCTAATTCTGACCAATGGTGAGCCATCTTGCTATTAACAAATATGGATGCCTAGCTATGCTTATGAACATGGTGTGTGTGTGTGTGTGTGTGTGTGTTAAATAAATAAATATCTATATA